TTGTTTCTAATGATCAGAAAAATATTACAATCATCTAACACGCAACTGTTCAGTTGATCAGAAGTACACAACAACGCGTTCAGAAGGTGCAATGGCAACAGTTACTGAGCTGTTGCGCCTTCTGAACGTGCCCATTGATGCATGCAGAGAACATCATGACGATGAAAAGGCCATGAATAATTTTCTTCTAAGAAATTGTTTAGGATTTGACTTTATAATATTTTTAATACATCCTAATATTTTCGGTCGCTCTTTAAATGTATTCTACGAAGAGAAAAAATCAAAAATTTGGCTTCGAGGAACATTTTGAAAAAAAGACATAGAAGTCTCTTTCAATGGGATTTTTTTTGTTAATTAAATTACCGTTGATTGCTGGCAATTTTTATTTAGGCGGTATCACACATTTTCATCCATCGGAATTATGTAAACTTTTTTTTTTTTTTTATAGATGAAAATGCACAACACTGTCAATAAAAAAACTTCAAATTTCCACTTTATACTATTAGAATTGAATGGGCTATAAATAAAACTGTATACACAAATTTTCTAAAAATTCCGAATAAATAGTATAACTTTTTGAGGAAACGTTGCTGATTTTTTTTTGTTGAATTTTTGTTCGAAGTTTGCAAGTTTGATTTATATAGTGTTTGATATAAAAAACCATATTTTTTATAAAAAAAAGAACTAATATTAAATATGCAATAAAAAAATACATTGTCAAAGTTTTTCAATATGTGGGTGTAGTACATGGGGAAATTATTACAGGTGAAGTAATGAGAGCTAGAAGAAACATTTTTTTTTATTGATTTGACACTATCTTATTTGAAAATTTGCCTTTAAAATTTCATATAAGATAGCTGAATGACAGAAAGTAAAGCGAGAAAGCTTTTTTATTACTTCAGCTGCTTATCTGTGCCATGGGTGTCTTATAGTAATGATAAGCAGTAAGGCAAAATGTCCACCTCAATATTAGTGTTCGAAAAACAACAATAAGACTTCAGGCAAAGAAAAAGGAGATTAGAAAAATCAGGGACCGAGAACGCGTTCTTGTTTTGGTTTAGTTACGAATAAGAACAAAATGTAATGCCAAGAGCGTTGCCACAAAAGAACTTAACTGAAGCAAAAGTATTGAGATCAGATTGAACGGGAACAAAATGAGAACAAAAGGCTTGGGAACGTTTCCAATGAGAGCAAAATGCGAACAAAACTCTCGCGAACGTTTTCAATGAGAACAAAATGAGAACGAAATTAACGAGAACGTTTTCAAGGAGGACCAAATTAGAAAAAAAGTCTGGGGAACATTCTGCTAGAGAACCAAACAATAACAAAAGCTTTGAGAACTTAACGTTAAAAATGAGAGGGGAGCAGTGTTGCCGTTTTAGCCCTTTGGTGGCTAAATTTGGCTACCAAATTCTTTTTTTGGCCACAAAAATTTGAAATTGCCCCTGGCCCTTTTTTAGCACTTTTCAAAATTTATTCATCATTGACATTAAAATTTTTTTATTGATTTTCATGAATTTAACTCTTCGCTCATAAAGCGAACACCTTTCCTTTAAGGCAAGTAAACATATGTCTATGTATGTTCCTTACGTTTCTGGGCCGTTATCTTATCCATTAACAATTTAACTATACTTTAAAATAGGTAAGTTGGCGGCCCTTAATATGCTTTATGTGTTACACAAAAAGTTTTTTTGTTGAATAAAATATTAATTCTTTTCAGAGTTCATTGTTTTTCTATACCAGTAATTATAGAAAATGTTTGCGTGTATACTTATATATTTATACTAGCAGTATCCCGGTGTACTTCTCTACACCAAATATTGAAAAACGAATGAAAAGTCCTGGAATTTTTCTATATGAAAATTTATCAGTTGTTTTATTTCAAAATTTTTGATTCTTTATTTTAAATCTTAATCCAACACATTTGGATATACAACATATTTTGTTTTTCCATCTTGGGTATGAATAAATAAACAATTTGGAATGCTAACTCTTGAACAGGCCACGCATAGCTACCAATTCCAGTAATCTACCACAAATATTTCAAGAGATATACCAGATGAAAATTTTTGTTAGTATGGGTGGTGCCACGCCCCCTTTTCCGAATTCGGGGAAACCTAACACAAACCATCTGCATAACAGCCCGACTATGCCGTATAAATTTGGTTGATATCTTGCACTTATTCTTTATATATAAGATGGTAGGTGCCACGCCCTCTTTTCCAATACCGCCCATTTTTATCCATGAGTATGGAATTATTTGTTATACCTCTATACCAACTTTCTGTATTCTACCACAAATATTTCAAGAGATAACCAACAAAAAAATTTTAGTTAGTATGGAAGGTGCCGCACCCCCTTTTACGAATTCGGGCAAACTTCACATAAACCATCTGCATGATAGCCTGAATATGCCGTATAAATTTGGTTGAATTCGGTGAAGCCGTTCTCAAGTTATAAGCTCACACCAAAAACGTGTACTTAATTGTATACATAAGATACATACATATGCCACGCCCCTTTTCCAAATTTGGGCAAACTCCACATAAAATATCTGCATGATGGCCCGAATATGCCGCATAAATTTGGTTGAATTCGGTGAAGCCGTTCTTAAGTTATATTGTCACACCAAAAACGTTCACTTATTTTTATATTTTAGTTAGTATGGGTGGTGCCACGCCCCTCTTCCGAATTCGGGAAAACTTCGCATAAACCATCTGCATGATAAATCATCATCATCAATCACGTCATTGAGAAAAACTAAAACCGCTATTTTGCTATATTTGGTCAATAGTTTCGTGAGTATAATTATTGCTTCGTGTGTTACGAAATTTATTTGTGTGTCAAAATTTTTGGGGCTGTTTGACGGAGTTCATATTTCGATTTTTGTTTTACTCGATGCGATCTTTAAGAAAAATATCTTCACTTCCCAGGTATTTTGGAGTGTCGCACCGTGCAATTGACCTGATTACTTTGTTTTTTTTTTTCGTCTATTTTCAATGGTGACTGTTCTATGTTATAACATAGAGGGAGAGCAGGACGGGCAAAATTGACACCTGCTATTACAGCTCTATGTATTTATATTAAATTTGCCAGTTTGTAGCACTTACACAGAAGTATAAACAGATGCAGATGAATTGGGTGGTTTAAATGGATTTCCACCCTGGTGACAAGCAATTAGAACATTTTGCCATTTTTATTCCATAACTCTGAATTTCTGTACGTCATACAGCGAAATAGAACTTATTGAAGGGTAGGCAAAGCCAGTGCCCTGTGCAGACTGCCGTGAGTTTGTAGGTATTTTCTTTGCTCATCTCAAAAGTGCCCTGGTTTTAGGTGGGTCGTAGGATAACCAGAACTGCCGCATGTCTAGGCTGTGAATGATAAATTTTGACAATTCAGCCCTTCAAGCCCCACCTGGCTGGTTCATCCGCTGTGTCTTTTCCGCAAATGTTCCTATGTGCCGCGATTCATGTTAGGGGGGTTTTTTTTTGTCGGAACCAGGCAGAAAACAACACTCAGGCTACATGCCGTCCATTGTACTGTTTTCATATTGCTTTTAATCTGTTTTAAATCTGTATGATTTACGAATAAACCTAAACAGATTGTTGGATGTCAAAGAGCTCAGGTGTTCGTCTCCCAACACATCGCGGCCATAGGTCTTATATCTAATTCTTCCAAAGGCGGTGCAGAAGCCCAAAAAGTGTTCCACCGCCTCATCCTCTTCATGGCAGGATGGGCAAATGGAGTTACATTACTGTCTGAAAAACGCTTGCATGGTCTGGTAAGCGAAAGGGTAGCTTTAGCTTACATTACTCAATAAAAATTCCTGCGAGAATGTTTTCTCTTAGTATTTATGCCTCGACGCCATACAAGAGGTACATGGTTATTAAAACTATTTTTCCACAAAATACACGTAAATACAATATGCCTTGAATGCGTACTGCATATCGTCGCCAGAGAGGAAGATCGCCCTATCTCGGCTGCCGGTTAAAAAACGTTCCATTTCAGCAAATGGTTGAAGAACGCCCTATCTCAGAATTTGGTTCAAAAATGCTCTATCTCAATATTGAGGGAGGATGTTTTAGGAGCATTTGCTGAGATAAGGCATTCTGCAATCGGCTGCCGAGCTAGTGATGATCTTCCACTCAGCCGCCGATAAAAAGTAAATAAATGTCTCCATCTGTCTTAAAATTTCTTGAAAAATGTTCTGGCAAAGTCGATTGGGATATTTTAGAGATTAGGGCAGACAAAACGGCGGATATAAAATTAAAAAAAATAAATAAATTGTGTTAAAGTTTTAATTTAACCATACAACTGTCTGTGTCTGTTACATAAAATATTAAACGAAGGTTTACATTTTTAAGTAGTAGTCCATATCGTGCTCAGAGAGTTAAACAACCGACCATACGTTGTCCTTACAAAGTAAAGATTATCATTTCGTACATTAGCCCGAAGGATCAAATGCAAAAGAAAAGTAAGGAAAAATCCAGAGTTGAGGTTTTAAGTTGATTAAGAAAATTATAAACAACGTTCAATTTGACAATTATAAACAATGCGGTTCAGTTTTATATGCATGGGAAACTTAACATACTACCCGGGGTTGAGTCTTGCAAAAAATGCCTTTGAGTATCTTAACCCTCGAACTCTAAAGCATTTTTCCACCCTTTACTACTAAGCCTCGCTTGTGAAGCTATTGTTTCGTAAGCAAAAAATGATCATCCTAAATGAATTTTTTATAAAGTAAGTTAAATTAAATTGTGCTATTTGTCCATTAGATGCGAGCGCTAAAGTTTTTGACATTGTTTTTTTTTTTGTTTTGCACAAAGAAACCCATGAGTCTCGCATGGCAGGCATACATATACTTCATGTTTAGCTACCCTACTTAATCCTATATTTTTAGGAAGTTTAAAAGCTTTTTAGTCGGACGCCAAAAATTTTGATTTGCGATAAGCTCATCAGCCAGATTATGTTGAATAATTATCAAATCTCTAACTCACCTGCGCGATAATCTCTCGGTTTTGGTGGCACTGGTGGCTCATTACCGTCATCTGTGATAACGGATTACAATGTATGTAGAAGACGGACATGAAAAAGGACATTTAAAGAAATTTAATTAGAGAGGAGCGTGTAAATTTGTAAACTAACGAAGCGAAAGCACAAAACAGCAAAAACCCAAAACGAATCAGTTAACCAGAAGGAAATGATGTCTTTCATACACCAAAGCGAAAGGAAACACAATTTTTTAATAGCTGCATGTGGAGTAGTTGATGAGCAATTAGATATATTGGCTGACTACCGAGATGGATCGATGGATGAAAATGGCTAAGGTTCTACATAAAAATTAAGTAAAAATGGGGTTAAAAACGATATTACTTATTATAGGCATGCTCTTTTTATAGATAGCTCTGTTCGACCTGGGCTTTTGTAAGCGAACGTTCAAGCGCCGAGAAGGGCATATCAAGTGCGTGAAACACTATAAACCCAGACTTCGACTGAACAGTGTATTCGACCACTACTCAAAACCATATTTAGAGTACTTGTTAGACACGAGCAAACACATTTTTTCAATTTCCGTTTCGATGTGAACGTGCGCTGAACTCTTTCTTCTCTTAAATGCAGAGTTTTAGAGATAAACTTCTTCAGATTTCATAAAAAGTAATGGGTGTCGTTGTAGGTAAAAAAAACAAGTGCGCATAGATTGTAAAAGTAAGTTTAAAAACCTTGAAATGACACGGCCATTGCAGACTTAAGGATCTCACAACTGCCACCGCAGCGTGGATGTGACGAGGCTCGCTTGCGTTCACTTGCTTCCGCGCCGTCTGGCACATAGCGCGCCTTCGGTTGATGCTTTTTCGGATCGAATTGTTGGTTTGCAAAGATGTCACCACGCTCGGTTTTCCTCAATGTAGCGCTACGACCATGTTGTAGCGTCTTAGGTGGCCTCGGCGGTGAAGCGGAACTGGAACGTTGCGGCATTTTGCGTAGAATTTTTGCAATACGCGTCGAGGTGCGCTCTTTACGCTCAGTATCAGCTCGTCCTATACCATTTCCTCTGTAAGCATTCTGTGTTGGACTGGGATATTTGTGTGCAATCCAGTCTGCGGAGAGATGTGGTGAAATTGCACCGGCTTGTGGTATATCTGGGCTTGAATTGGCACGCGATCCGATCGGCGGCGAAAGACTACGCTCGTATTGGCTGCGTATGCGTTCAACAACAAACCTGCGTTCGGGCTCAGCTTTTACTGTTTGCCGTGGACTCTGCTTAGTCTCCTTAAGTGCTGCAGTTTTACTTATTATATCAATGTGCGGCATTAGGCGATCTTTAACACCGATTGGTGAGATAACACGCCGACGTGTGCGTCCGCGTCCAGCGCCCGCACCAATGCGCATGCTCCGACTGCGCTGTTCGAATTCGTGCGCTAATGAGGACACATCCCCGTGTTCCTCAGCCATCAACTCCGTTCTCAAGGCGTCTTTTGATCCTGTTTCAAATTGCTTCAACTCAGGATCGCTGCGCACCTTTCTCAGCATTCTAACCCCAAAAAAATGACACCGACTATCATCATGTGCACCGAAACTCTCGAAACGTTCTGTAATCTTTCGCACATCGCCAGTTTGCACACGGCACAGGTATGAGGAGGAGGCCTGCGAATCGGGCGAAAGGCTGCGTGAACGATAGTGTGCGTCTAACATTTCAACGCTGCTATTTGGTGTTAGATCACCCAAATCATACCAGGCATCCGTTGCGTCCATGCAATCACGCGCTGGACTCATTGGTGATGCGCAACCCACGTCGGGTGGGCGCTCGGGCGGTGAATGCATGTGAAAATTTACACGCGCTGTGTGTCTTTCGCCAAAAATATCTTTCAAATCGGTCAAGGAATTGCTGAGCTCCTTGTGCTGACGTGTTGGTGTTGCTTTACGTGTGCGTGATTTCATTTTTTCCTCAATAACGCGCATAACTTCAGCCTCGTCTGGCGAGGAGTCTTCACGTGCATGGTATATGGTCTTGGGCGGTTCGTCGTATTGTTTTTCTTCGAAGTATTGTATTTTCTGCGTTATTTTCTCTTTCGGCTCTTTGGCGGTAGAGGAATGCTCCGGCGACTGCTTTGGTTCCTTGGTCTTACTATCCCCGTTGTAGTGCTCGTTGCGCAACTGACTCGCTTCTTCGGCAGCCGTAGATGCTGCTGCTATTTCTCGGGGTTCAACAACTTTTGATGTAGCGCTGCTTTCATGCGTCAGATTATATTTGTCTACGGGCTGTTTAGGTATGGGCGGTGGCTTGGGATAGGAGACTTCAGCGTTTTTTGCTGCCACTGCACCACGGGTTTCGCGCGCCAGATATACTGGCGAGCTGCTACGTGTTCCTTTTGGCCTACCGTCTTGCGGAGCCTTGTTCTCTTCGGTCTTACCTTTAGTTTTTGCTTTTGCCGTTGTCGTTTCCTTAGCTTGTTTTTTGCTTATGGTCGGCTGTAGTAGATCATCTCTTGACAATGTTGAGTTGCACCTGACTTTGAGCGCGCTTGGTGCCGCTCGTTTCTTAGTGTCCGCATCGACCGTGATTACATAATCTTCTGTGCATTGCGCATTGTTAGAGTAGATTTCATTTAACTGCTGCGTAATTTTCAATATTTGATCTTTAGAGAGCGTGCTGACAAGACGACTACCCAACTGACACTTTGCAAGCTCTTCCTCTGCCGTTAATTCAACACTTTCCGGCTGGAAATTGCCTTCCAAGCTGGAAGCCAAATCTGCTACAGTGTTTCGACGCCAGTAGGGGCGCACAAATTCGCGCGTGCCATCATACTCTTGTCGCAGTTGTTGTTCATAGTCCGCAAATATATTTTTCTGTTCGAAGGCGTAACGCAAATCCTCTACCGATTTGTCCTTGGCGTGCAGACCAAAGTCGGTCTCCTTGTACCACTTGACATCTTCCACATCTTTTGGGCGGAATACGAAATCTTTTGTCCGCTGATCCTGCTTTAGCTTACCCACTAAATAATTTAACTCTTTTTCGGCGCGCTCATGACAACGTATTTTCCGCCATTCATCAAAGTCTAATGGCTCGCCATCCTTGCGTATCGGCCTGAACGAGGTCAGCGATGTGGCACGCTCCAATTGACCGACGCGTTCGAGCGTGCTATAAAATCTATTCAAATCCGTAAAGCGTTCCGAGTTATTGCGATAGCGACAAGTTGGACTATGGCGTTCGTAATTCTCAAGCGACGTCGCGCTATGCGCAAATTCGCCACAAAGGTAAAGCCCACGCCTGGAGCGATCATCGGCGCTACTCAAGCTGCTAGCACGTATTACCTTACCGGTTTCAATTGTATCTGCTTTGGCAGCGCTGGCACGATAGGTGTCTATGCGCCGCCTAGAAGGCGAGCGCACAGTGCGCGCGGCTTGCTGTGGCACGCGCACTTCGCGTGTGGGCGAAAACTTTCTGGACGAAGCTTTGCCGGAGGAAGGAGAAGGCATACGTACGCTTTCTCTGCTCATTTTAGCTGTTGCAGATTGCGAGAGCACATGTGGTGGCAGTTGAGGTACACGTACCTCGCGTGTAGGTGAGAATTTCCTCGTGTTCTCGACAACGGCTGGCGATTCAGGGCGTGCGATATCGCGTGCCACTTTTGGCGACTTGGAACGCTGCAGCGTAGGCTGCAGACTGGGAGGGAGTTTGGGAACGCGCACTTCACGTGTGGGCGAAAATTTTCTGGGCTGCTCATAAATGGGCGGCGAAACTACGTCTGCTTCCGCTTTCGAAGCGTGTGTTTTGTTGTAAGCAACTTGCAAGCTTCTCGGCTCCTGTGGCACGCGTATTTCACGTGTCGGAGAAAACTTTCTATTTTTCAAACTCGGTGTAGGCGACTCCGGGCGTGCAATATCTCTAACGGTGGCCTCAGTCGGTACGACTTTGGCTGTGTAGTTTTTAGGGTGACGTCCCTCGTATTGCCAAAGCAAATCATCAACATAGCTGCGATCGACTTCGTCATAATCGTCGAGCCTGGCGTTATACTCTTCCAAGTGGTAGTAACGCTTCGGACTGAGACTGCGTGACTGATGTAGCGCGATCGATTGATAGCCGGTGCGCGGAATTATATGCGCTTCTTCGCGTGCATAGTATGCGGTCTGCGGTTGCTGCGCTTTCAAAGCGGCGCGCGTTTTATGTGCTTTGGGCATTGTGCTCGCTTTCGTGGATGCTTCATATTGCTTTTTGCTCTGCTGTACTGCCACTTTGGACTTAACAGCCTTACCATTCGGCTTCGACTTTGTCTCTGCAACCTTTTTGCTGGGTATCGTTTTAGTCTTACTGGTTGTGGCACTTTTGGGCGCCGTGGAGTCTATCGAGAAAGTGGAATCGGTGCGTGCTAGGCTGATTGTCGATACATTTTTCGGGCGCGGACTCTTCGAGCGCTTAAACGTCTTGCGCATTGCTTTGGCGCAATCGAATATTTTAGCCTGTGGAAAGCACGATGCATGACGAACTGTGGTGCTCATAGAATAAATCTCTGGTTTCCTGAGTTCCTCCCTGAGGCGTGGCAGTGATTTGCTGCGTAGATGTGCTACACAAGTGGCGTACGAGCGCACAGCTTGCTTCACTTCTTGCGGCGATTTGAGCGATGGATCGCGTAATATATTAGTACTGGCTTCAAAATTGGTAAAGCCCGTCGGCAGACTATTCTCCAAGCGTTTCTTTTCCTCGGCAAATGTGCGCTCTTTTGAAATTGAACGCCCGAACGCAACGGGACTACGACTCGACTGACGCAACGTTGCCACACGGCTTTGTGCACGCATGGGGCTAATCGAGCGGAAACGGGTATGTTGTTGCAAACGTCTAATCTTTCCCGCCTCTACTTCGCTTGACTCGCCACGACAAATGCTCAGCGCTCTTGGTGGCGGCGCTTCAGTGCTCGTGGACTTGCTGGCTGCGAGCAGTGAAGAAACAGCGCCAGCAGATTTGGAACGTGAAATTGTGCCATTGACGCGTGTATGCTTTCTAATTGTTATGGTTGCATACTTATTGGCGCCTAGCACATGCTCATCGGGACTTTGAAAGCATTGCTCGTGGCGCTTTGGTATGACTGGAGTTGGTTTTGGTGGGCGTGCCGGCGAAGCCTTCGCCGACGACACCTTCTGGCAAGATGATCTACGATTTGGCGGCTGCGGTGGCGAAGGCGCTGCGCTCGTGGCGTTCCGTTTGCCGTCAATCGGTATGAATGATGGTGTGAACATTTTCGCTTGGTGGTGGATTTTGACGTAAGTCGCTCGCGGTGACGTTTGCTGTTGTGTCGGCGCAACTTGTTTAGCTTCGGCTTTGTCGTGGCAACTATCGTTGGCGCCGTTAGCTGGCGCTGAGATCACACGAATTTTGGTCAGCGTTGGCGAGATCTGTATGTAATCGAGGTATTCTTTTTGATTCGAAGTGCGGAAAAGCGGGAAATTAAAATTTATTATTTTTTTTTGGTAGACTTAGAGTGGGAACAATTTGTGAGCCCATCCAGGCGGTGCGGTGCGGTTCCAGGGTGAAAAATAATTCGTTCTGTGCGCAAAACTGTCAACGCGGGCGTAAACGGTTGATGGTGAATTAAATTTTAAAATTTCTTAAACTTTTGAATAAACGACGGTAAGGGTTAAATAATACTACCCACACACCAAAAGAACCCAACAATTAATGAAAAATGTTAAACTAGCTACTTTTCAAATATATTTCGAGAGGTTTCAAGTGTATTTGTACTTGTCACCGTGTACTTTGTGTTATGGTGTGTGTATGTATGTGCAACTCAAAATTTTCTTTGTCTAACCAGCTTCTTCAAAACCAGCATTCGCATCGAAAATACTACATAGTAAACAGGTTAATTTCCTCAAATCCATAAAATTTGCTTTTGCCAATAAAGTACTTCTGTGCATTTGGTAAGCTTAAGCTTTCTGTTTTTTTTCTGTGCTTACCTCTAGGTCTTTCTGGTGCTGGCTTTCTAAAACCAAATAATGGTGGTTCGCCGCCCGCTTGTACGCTCTTATAGGCTTGCTTTTGCTCGACTGGGCTAAGTGGACTGGCTTGTGGTGCTTCGCGCTTGCGGAATACCAGATTCGAATCACTCGTGTAACCAGACTCTTTGGCTAGGGCTCTGAAAGAAGAAAATGGCGATTACTCTAAATGAATTGAAGTTACTAAAAATGAAATTAAAAATTTTACCTGGAAAGATTTCCTTCAGTGTAGTGTGGCGAGAGCTTGGCTTGATCCAGGTGCTACGTATTAGTCAAATTATGTTAAAAAGTGAGAAAAAATGTTTTAGTTAGAGTTTTTTTTTTTGTTTTTAGTGAAAAATTAGACGCATTCAATACAGTTTTAGCAATTGATGTACAGTATTTTTTATAATATAGAAATAAGTTTTTATAATAGTACAACATTTTTAAGTTTACGGATTGGATGACAGTAGGAGAATGTTTCCGAAATAGTCTTGAAATGGGCCAGAGCTAGTGCCAATTTGATCCCGAAATGGCCCTAATATAGTACTGAACAGTTCAGGACCCTAAACCAGCTGTGAACTATAGTAGTCCCTCAATATTCCTGAAATAGCCCTGAACTTGTCCAGAAATGTTCATTCGTATACACTAGAAGCAATTACAAATTTTCCGCTAGGAGCCACCCTGGCTGGGTCCCATATCGAGTATGGAACACAGCTAGCTTCAGATCGGGTAGTATACATTATCATCATTGCCGCTTTTAACTATGCTATATTCTAGAAATATTCAATTATATACTAATTTCATTTTTAGAGCTCTGATTTGCATTCTGAACTGATCGCATTTTGATGCAAAGCCTAGATACAAAACTTCTAAAATCCAACTTCATCAATTGTCAGCAGAACTTCTTTTTTTTCTTACCAAACCAGACCCTGTGCGCGTGTATGGACCGACGAGCCAGTGACCGAATTCAGCAGACTGTACTGCTGAGGTTGAGAAAAGGTTGGACTTTTGGTCAAAGTTTTAGCACCGTGAGCAATATTCTTCGTAGAATTCGTAGTTCGATTTGTAGTTTGCAATTAGTGGAGCATTTCGAACCACCCTAACTGTTACGCCTAACGAAAAGAATGACACCGTTGTTAACTATAAACTCTCTGGAATTTGTATTGATTATATGTCATCAACTCAGAAACTGCACCGCCTATATCACTGCAGGGATGTACTAGGCTATAATCTAGGATCTAATGTTCGAAACCAAGATCCAGAAAACTTATTTACGGAGAAACGGAAATTGCATAAAAAGGACTAGGCGAGGCGTTTGGAACTAAGATCCAGTGGAAAGGCTTCCGAATAACTGCTGTATTTTCCAAGCGAAGATATAAATTATATTTCTCGAGGATGTGAACATTTGTATGTATTTGTAGATATTGAATTTTAGTGGCTGACTAGGATAAAATTAATGCTTTTTCGCGTCATGTATTTCTATATTAATTACTTGAACGAACTATCTGGATACTCTAATGAATTTACCTACTTCGCTCCTGATAGGTCTGCTAGTTGCGTTACTACGTGTCTTCCTAGTATTCTATACCTAAAATTCGCAAGGTGTAGGCATTCACACAGGAAATTTCGAGAACTTTATTCAATTCGCGGCAAGTTCTATTATAGGGAAGTACTGTTATTGCGGCATGTTGGGCTAGAGCTAGTCCCCTCGTGATGGTTACTACAATTGTGAATGGTTCTGTCCAGAAAGTAGCTGGAGAGATTTGGAAACATGTTAGCCAACATTAACTTGGAAACGGACATTTCGGACATTCACAATACTAAATTAGCTTTGTGGAAGCTGTCTATATTTTATGCAACAGACTACAGGCACGTGCAAAATGAAGACGAAAAAACGCACAAGTCTAAACTATAAGTCAGTCATTGTCAGCAAGACTTGTATTCAATTGTTTGCTTTATGTTATTGAACAAAAAAGCAGAAATTCTGGACGTTGATATTCACTAAAGAAAATTCTATGGATGTTGCGGAAAAACTGGTGGAATCTAGATCAACTCCTCGAGAGTAAATTTGTCTGAAATTTAATTAGAATAGAAGGATCGTGTAAGGCTGCCTTTGTCTACGGGGCTAATACTCTGAAAGTAGGGATGTCGGAAAAACATCGATGCATCGAAAATATCGATGGCCCCTATTATGAGTTGCATTCGATTTTCGATCTTCGCTGGCTATCGAAGATCGAAAGTGAAATTCCTATTATGAGCTATGCAAGCGTGTCGAAATTTTCGTTGAGTATTGAATTTTCTGTCGAACAGAATTTTGCTTTCGTTGGCGTAGCGAAATGTTAGAAAATTTAAAAATTGTATGATTTTGCATTTGTTTTCTTACTTTTTAGCGGCTAGACACTAATTTTAAACAATTTGTATTAATTTCAAGCAGTTCTAACGTCGTGAATAGTAAACACAAGCTCGAAAGTCTGGTTTTACATATGAAAGAAAATCCCTATACGCTGTTGGCACGATCTCTGAAAACAAAATCATGGAGCTGTTTATAGTTTTAATATATTTTAGATAGATTAGGATCACAAAATTTCTTAAATATATTGTATGTCAATTATATACTCGAAAGACTGCACTTAAACTCTCACGTTTTCTGCTCCTGGCCAGTTTTTTAAGCCCTCATCCTCTGACGAATCGTTCACCAGAACTCCGTTGTACTAATTAAATTTTAGTTTTTTTTTACCACGTTTTTATAACTCGCTTTCTTTTTTGTTTCATTTTAGTATGCACAAATTTACATATGTACATATGTATAAGCACACTATTTAGTTTGCTCGATTTGTAAACAAAGCTTCTCAGCAGTGAAAAATATACTATTGTGAACAACCTAAACAAGCGAAATTCACAATAGCGCTATTCTTCATCGAATGAGCGCCATAATACCAAATGAAAATTCGTTCGCTCAGCACTTTCGACCACAGTCGAAAATCGAATGCAACTCATAATAGGGGCCGATGTTTTGCTTCGATGCATCGAAAATTTTCCACTCGATGTATAAATAGTCGATGTATCGATGCATCGATGTATCGATGTTTTTTGAAAACTGACATCTACGGTACATTGAACCGTCATTCCAGTTTATCAATTGTTAAAAAAAAAGAAGTGACTTTGGCCAAAAAATTTAAATGGCTGCAAGAAGTTCCGTTAGAAACATAATTAGCTCAGTTGCAGTAATTTATTTCAAATTTTCTACAATTTTGCTAATAACATATTTTGTTGTGAAACATTATCAGAAAAATCCTATGCAAATCGATGCATCGATGTATGCCCTTCGATGCATCGAAAAATATCGATGTACATATCGATGCATCGAATCAAAGAAAAACATCGATGTATTTTTGCCACTGACATCCCTATGTGAAAGTTAATTGTATTGGTGTCCTGCCATTCGAAGGCAAATGAAAAGAAGAAAGTTATGGAACAAAACAAATCTCGACTTAATAGCCTATTTCCACCAAAAGCTTAATTACATTTAAGAGCTCAGGTAAGTTCCAAGAATTTTAACCTTGGGGGATCGGAATGGATTTTTTCTTAATTTTTGCTTTTATACTCTCCGTTTGCTTGTACTTAAATTACCACCTTCGAGTTGTAATCTCCCTTTTCCAACAGGCACAAACTGCAATTAAGGCGTGGTGCAACTGGCAGTTCTAAAAAATTTTCAGCCAAAAAAAAAAGAATTAAAATTAAATTTATTTTACTTTTCTCCATTCCGTAAACTTAATATATTCCCAAACTTCAAAAAATATGTATTAAATAAAAGATAAAAAAAATTAAATAATAAAAAATAAGTTAATTAATTCAAATAAATAACTAAACAAACTTTAATAAAAACAAAAGTGAAATAAAATTTAAAACTGAGAATTTTTCAAAACTATAAAGACAGTCAAGTATTGCTGACGAAGCATTTGTTTACTTTTTTAAGAACGGAGCTATCAACTCTTTCGAGAACCTTAACATTTATTTTCAACTTTAAGGTTCGCTCTCTTTAATTGTTGCATTGTGTTTCAATATATAACAAAGTCGTTTCATTTAAGGACAGTGCTAATATATAGAATTCCATTCAAGTGGTTTGGTGCAGTGCTATTTATATTTGTTATTTTTTTTTTTAGTGTAAACATACATACTCATGTATGAGAGTGCTCCTTTCACATGTGTGCGTAAATAACATGTGCTCTATATTTTTAATCAAGTGCATGTAAATGGTTTAATTAACTTACGCTTATATCATCGACGTATTCGATGAATATACGCGGTACAACGGTTTGTTCGCTTAACCACTAACGATATAACCACGATAGCGAAAGGGGCAGAGAAGGCAGTACGATTGCGAAAAAGGCGAAAGTATCAAGAGTAAAAATATTGCATACACTCATATTTATAATAACTTTGCTTATGGGAGCAAAATTAGGTGACAGATAACAAGATCAACGGAAATAAGGTCAATCGTACCATGGTGGGAATTAAAGTCAAGTGACCTTGTTTCCGTTGATCTTATTACCAGTCACCCAAAATTATAATTCTAGTACAGTCAAAACTCGATAAACCGAACTAATGGTTGGACACCCATTTTGGGGTCGCTTTAATAAAAATAGCTTTCAATAAAAAAAAAAAACAGTTTATTCGTAAGTATCGATTTGAAAAAAGTTACATAGAAAATTTATAATGAAAATATCATTAGATTCAACCCCCAAAAAATTTCGTTGAAAATGAACATTTGAAAAGTAATTAATACTTTGCTGGCTAGCATAAAATTTGCAAATGCAACTCCAACTGCAAATCCATGACAATTTCCACAACATCCTGAACAGCCCTTTAGTGTTCGGGATAACCGTCAACAGTTGGATTAATGAGGACTTGAATATTGGATAATTTAGTTTTCAATTGAGTCGATAAGTCGTTTAGAACTAGAGCAGCTAGCTACAAACATTTTGTTTAAAAATTTAACGGTTTTTAATATAGTCAGCACCTCAACAAGAAAAATAAAGTAATGAATTTACTATAACGCAAATCATTCCCAAAACCAAGTAGACCCAAATAGTTATGTATTCTCAGGCAAAATCTCATTTATCAACTAATCAAATTTAAATTTGTATTTGTACATAAGTATGTATAATTTAATCAAAAGGTGATGCATACCCCATTAAAGATGTCCATCACTTCGTCCCACCACTAGAAAACGTGGAATAAAATAGATTGAGTTAAAACAAACAAATAATAAATAAATCAAAATAAATCAAAATAAAAAAACAACAATTTAGCTGCATTAGAATAAAAAGTTTTCACTTAGATAAGTATATAGATAATTATGTATAGTAACTTTTTTTTACTATGTATAGAGCACGATGACGTAAACTGCAAAGACCTTGACAATATAAGCTGGAAACGTGATAAGTAAGTACTTAATTAACCAGTAAACGTAATCGAAATCGAATAAAATATTAACTATAAATAAATTTTACGTTTTTATGTCGAGTGAAATATGTATGTACATGTTAATGAGTTTACAAGTGTACTGTACATGTGTAAGTATATATGTATGTATGTATGCAAGTGTCGCAGAGAGTTTGTGCTTAAAATTTCATACTCGTAATTCTAAAAGTTATTTATGTCATGTTGTGCTAAATGTCAAGTGAAAGTGAACAGAACAGCGTGGAATGCTAATACAAAAATTTACAAATGCATAGGAAGGTATGTATGTACATATGTATATTGTGATTTCAAAATGTTGCGAGTTGAAATTGCAATCGCCATCGATTCGTTCGTGATAACCTGGCTGTATTGCAGTTGCATTTCAAATATTTGGAAATTTTTTTATTTTTCTTTTTTTCATATTTTAGTGTTATTTTGCTTTATACCTCTTTGCGTTCCTTTTCGGACACGGACGAACGTCCTGTTACGTAGTCTTCAATGCGACCAGGTTGATTTTTATATGTGCTTGGTGCCGATTTAATCGGATTTGGCATAGTACCATATAATCTGAAAGTAAAAAAAAAGCATAAGTCAGCTGGATTTGATGAACTTAACCTTAAGGGCAGTTTTTTTTTCTAACTTAGTTTTTATTTATTAAACCTGGGCCATACTTTAGAGCCTAAAAATAAATTAGCAAATCTTAATATATTCACTTAACTTACACCCCTTAGTTGGCACGAGTATTTTCTTAACTAACCATAAAAAATAGACCAAAACGCTCCAGCTCTGAAAGTATTCAACTCAGAATTCGGTGGTAGTAGCAGAGGACGAGATGGACAGACCAGGTAAAGAAGGACTTGGCTTTACTTGGCGTTCTCAATTGGCATACAAGACAAATGACTGGCAAGCTTTAATGAACGCCAAAATCGCCTAATAATAATAATAATAATAATAAAAAGAATAAGACCCTAAATCTGGAGTTCCTGTTTACAAGCAATTGCTTGGGTGCGGTCAAAGGTTCGATGCATACTATTTCGCCTTCCGTTCCTTTATTTCGGTTCGTACCTTTGTGAATCTCAAGTAGTGATGCCATGTTGCTCCGGTGATTGTTTGAAGGATTGTGGCAAACAAAAAAAAAAATATAAATAAACCACCCTGCATTTCTTAATTTTCTTGCATTTTGATGGTAAATTATTAAATATTATTAAGTGAAACTCTTGACTTGTTTAACTTAAATTTGCAGCAAACACCAGATTGGTGAACACATCCCAAGCCACCGCCACGCAGACGGGGATAAAACGACGCTGCGGAGACAAAGTCTGGCTTCGCACTTCCAGAGCAGGTGGATCAGATGACCTCTTTATAGCGAAGCTGCAAAAGAGACTCATCAACTGTGTCCTTTTTGTATACCCTACGCTACAATTACAAGCATTTCCTCAAACCTGGATACCTTAAAGTGCGAACGACAACAAACCAACCAAAGTCATACCGGCCCATGATTCAATAATACAAGGTTAGATAATTATTGACAGCTGCGGTTTGACACTCCCTTACAAAAGGTTGCATTTACGAAGGACGGAGAAAGGGGGAGAATGAAATCTCTTGGTGCGAAAATGGTAGTAGAAAAGTACGCAAAGTAGACAATTAGTAGTAAAATTCCTTTTGTAAATTCTAATTTATTTGCAGGAAATCTGGGTGACAGGTAATAAGATCAACGGAAATAAGGTCAATTGACTTTATTTCCCTCCCTGGTGCGAAATAAAGTCAATTGACATTATTACCTTTTTAAAAACGAGATAAAATCAATTGACATTATTTCTCTTTCAAACATTAAATTTGCTTAGCTTCGCGGCGGCCCGCGTTAGCGCGCCATAAAAATCCACCCAAGCTTTATCTGTCATCAGTGATATTAATGTTACCTTTTATAACGACAGGTAATAAGTCCCACATGGTTTCTAAAATCACAAAATAGTTTTTGTGCAAATTGCAAATAGAGGGTATTAATGAATTCAAGCCCTCGATATTTCACCTTTTTATACTTGTAAGTTATTGGAAGCAGGGATGCCAACTTGGCTCAAACCGTACCATTTGTCCCTATTTTACTTCAAATAGCACTTAATTTTTCAATTTGGCATAATTTATTATTTCTCTCATTGGCACATTTTGGCACTTTTTTATCCTCAATATGGCACCTCATAACTAAGGATAGTTGGCAGCCCTGATTGGAAGATTTCTGCTGTGTTTTGGGGCAACAACTTGTCTGCAGTAAAAAAGCATATAACTTGTGTTTCAAAAGTGTGTGAAAACCAATCAATTAGCTTATATGATCTCGGTTCCACAAATTGCTGGCGGAGACATGAATACAGTGTAAGAAAATTCTTTTTCTATAATTGTTTCCTTATAGAAAGGTTGGTTTCTTTTCCACCCTAGACATTCCGAATTCGTTCAAAATATGATAATTTAAAACACAGAATTCTTTCAGTGTTCCTCCGGGGTTTTTGGACATGGACTGTTTCATCAATTTAATAGTGTTCGCTTTATTTTTGTGGAAACGAAAAATGTTTTGCAAGTTATGGATCATTTCTACACTCTTTCTTCAAATATTTCTCGTTTTCCAGCTGTGCGCAGGTGTTTAGTTTTTCGCATCGTGTTTTTACATATTCGTAATCTAAATTTTTTTAATAAAATCAATTGGTGGTAGTTCATGATTGTGTGTGGATTAATATAACAACACTGAGTATTTGGCAATAACCTTTTTCATCTATTAAAAAGCAACACTTACGGGGCAATGTTTATTGAAAGAACAACATTTTTTTCTATGAATCGACATACTTTAAGCATTGTTGACGCTATTTCCATTTGAATGAGGAAATAGCATCAATGACGTTATTTCCAAATTTTTGTTGACTTTATTTCGCTTTTGAAAAGGTAATAATGTCAATTGACTTTATTTCGCACCAGGGTGGGAAATAAAGTCAATTGACCTTATTTCCATTGACCTTATTACCTGTCACCGAAATCTGGCCTTTTAAACGAAATATTGAACGTAGTATTGATACATCTACCTGAATTACGTAATTTATGTTCTATTTAGCTGTATAAAAACTGCAAAATGACTCAAAATTAAAATAAGACTACTATGAGATTGATGTAAACATCCAATTTAAAAACAGTTTATGTTTTCATCAGTTAAATATGCTTCATATGCACATACAAATAAACATATTGCACAAAAGTTTATACTTCTCTTTCACACCAAAGCTACACTGTTTCCATGTAAATTTTCAAAGAAGCAACACGGTGCCACTGCTAAGGGAGCGGTGCGAGAGAGGCAACTGTCAGTTTATCGAACCTTGTATTATTGAATCATGATACCGGCCCATCAGTTTAACGTCATTTCTACTAAAATCCATATCAGAGATAGTTTTCTTATTGAAACCTCTTTGCATGAAAATAAATATGCCTGAAAATTGATCAGACGATTGACGGAGCTCTCAACAGACAACAACTAATGCGATTGAACTTAGTACTAATGGAATGAAAATGTTCGAATGCGTGCGGCAAAAGTGGTAAAAACTTATCTCGATGGCAACGGATGGGAAGTGCTAAGGCATCTACCTTATAACCTTGAACTTACACCATCAGACTACTATTTATTCTCGTCTATGCAGAACGCCCCTATGGCAGTACGTTGCATTTAAGCTGAAGGTATAAAAAATTTACATGATACTTTCTTGGTCTCCAAAGACGAGGAGTTTTACTGGCGCGAAATCCATGAATTCCCAGCAAAGTGCAAAAAAATCGTTGTTAGCTATGGGTATTACTTTCAATAAAGTACATTGTACCAATTTTGCATAACAAAAAATTCAAAACAGATAAAAAAATCCCTTAAAGCTTATTTGTTTACCTTCCTGGGTGGTAACTACATAGGTAATCTTAGCATACCTGTAAATCGTGATCTAATCTTATCTTAACTTGCATACTTTCTTGTATTTATCACACACACACACACACACAAACATAATTATGTAAATCACAGTACTCACTTATCGTCCTGGTACGAATTCGTACTGCGATTCGCAACGTTCGTGGCCGATGAGACCGATTGTAAACGTCGTCGATCTAATGTTCGATACTTTACTGTAGAGTAGTCGGAATCGTAATTGGGCTCGGGCTCTGATTGATATCCGGTTGATTTCAATTGTGGACGAGCTGTGTCAAAGGTTTGAATTAATAGATATAAATATTTGATGTAATTGTGTTTACTAATATTTAATATTTAATGTTTGTTATTATTTGATATTTTTCTTTGTGGTTTTTAGTATTTTGAAACTATGTAAAAGTGCATTAGGCGGCGTAAATAGTCTGTAAAAATCCAGTGTCCAGTGATGTAGCCCAGTGTAGCTTACACCTATGTATCTGTGTATGTCTTGTATATACCAGTTCCTTATATAATAAATTTAGTTGTATTAGTGAGTTGTTTGCAGAAGTGAATATTTTCAGTGTTTGAGGAGTGTTTTTTTTTTTTTAATATAACATTCATTCCATTTACTACAAAGGGTTCATGCATACGACCTTTTATATTTTCAACAGAATAGGATCAGATAAGAGTTTGTTAAACATTAGATTGCCATAGCCATCACAACTTGACTTTCATGTACTACATAAAGTGTCATTGGAATGTAAGTATTTCAAATAAGGCATAGCGAAAAATTCTAGCATTCTATGAGTACTACTCAAGCTTCGCAAGCATTCCGAGGCACGCGCTATAGGTGGAGGTAATCGTACATAAAAGTATGGCTTATGAATATCTACCGAAGCATTTATAATCAGCGCATTTGCAATTACTACAACTACATACTGCAAACATACATATTTCCATTTAACTACATATTATGTATTTTCTCTTTTTCTGTTTGTGTTGATTTGCTATAAAGTAAACGTAAAAATCACCTCTTTGACATTTGTAGCGAATCACGTAATCATCTGTGAACAATGTAGAGGTGTGGCGAGGCGAAGTGAGGCGCATTGCAGATGTGAGATGCAAGTTGTGATGCGATGCGGCGGAGGAGCAGCGTTGGGGTACCGGGCGTTAAACGCGGAATGGTATAAACGAACGGGTAAAAGCGTTGTTAAAGCCGTAAAGCGTATCGCATCATAAATGTGTACAAAATTTTGTGAAAAAGAATTGCAAAAAAAAAATATATATATATTTACTATGTACATTTGTAGATACGACTTTATTAGAAATTCATATATGTACATAAATGTATCTGTATGTGTGTACATTAGGGTGGCATAAAATCTTTTTTTCCAGTCAACCCGTAGAGTTGAAGAATTTTGAAAATAAGGAGACGCATATTTTATTATTTTAAAATCAGTTAATTTCAGGGACCGTAACGGTTATAATCTTTGTAATAAAAAACATAATTTAATCGTAAAAATTGGACTTATATCTTTCCGAGCAAATTTATCGTTAGTTTATGATATTTATTTTTTCGATCAAGAATAATGAACAATTTTTATATTTTATTGTTCGATAAATTTTTTAACGTTATTTTTAATTTTTTCGATCATATAACCATTATTTTCAGTTTTATTTTTATTTTATCTTAAAATGTTTAAGTCGGCTATAGATATGCAGTCCCCATAATAACGGTTAAAAAGGATAAAAAAAAATTAAAATCGAAAATAACGATTATTTTTTACCGAAAAAATGAAAATCCAAATTTAACGAGTATTCCTGCACGAAAAAATAATGATTTTGAATTGATTTAAAAATAAATATCTAGTTATGTAAAGGTTATTTTTGGTGCCTGGTTAATTTTTACCATGCCGCCGATGCTTTGCCTATTGCTAAATTCTATTGCCTAAATATCTTTCATTTGTTTAAAGTTATCTCATGTATTGAAATGCAGCAAATAAGTAAAAATATTTAATTCCCTTTTGGTATTTCTATTTTGTTTTTGCAAATTATTTGAAACTAATTCTAAGATTGATTTGAATTGACCTTTTTCAGCTATTGCTAACGAGCAATTTCACTCTATTATTGCTTTACGATAAATTTGTTTGCATATATGTATGTAAATAGCTTTAATTTCCGTTAAGCAAGCGGAAATGACAAGAAAAATATCTTAAAAATCAACATTTCTCGAGATTTTTTTTACGCAAATTAGTTGCGCTCGATTAAACCACCAAATTGCTAGGTGGCAGCACAACATCTTGTTTGTCACTTAGAGCTTAGACAAATTTTCTTTTACACATATCCGGTTTGTACTATTTATTTATTTTTCAATTAATTTTAATTACATATTTTATACAAGTTTAGCTCAATGTCTAACGAAAATTTTATAAATCCAAATTTCTAACTTAGTACAAAGATTACAAAAAAATCAACAACATTGCACAACAAAATTTTTTAATTTTTTATTTTAGAAATAAATATAAATAATAAAGTTTGAAGTGTCTATAAAATACCGTTAATTTTTTATATTTTTTTTGTTAACGTTAACAAAAATTTTTAATTATTTTATTTTAGAACGAAAAACTTTATAAATCTAATTCTCAAACTTAGTACAAAGATTAGAAAAAAATCAACAAAGTTGCACAACAAAATTTTTTAATTTTTTATTTTAGAAATAAATATAAATAATAAAGTTTGAAGTGTCTATAAAATACCGTTAATTTTTTATATTTTTTTTGTTAACGTTGTTGCGCATTTTCTTCCATATAAAAAAGAACGCAACCGTTTTACCAAAAAAAAAAAAAAAAAAAAAATGTTCTTATTATGCCAAACTTGAAATTTGGATTCATATGCTTTTTGTTATAAACTTGCATAAAAAATAATTAAAATTAATTTCGAAAATAATAAATACCCCAAACCGGGTGACCATATCATTTTGTCGCGGCGTGTCACGTTGATGGGCCGAAAAAAAGTTCAATTCGATCTAAGTGATTTTCTACACGCACTAAGAGAGCGGAAAGTAAACAGTTTGTTATAAAACAAATGTATTTAGCTGTATTAAGAGCGTGTCGAAAAATAAAATTCTTACACTCCTGACATACTCTCAAAGTGAGCGTTTAAAATTAGAATTAGAAGTAAAGAAATATATACAGTTTTTTTAATAAGGACCTTTTATGGATATTATTCTTTTTGTTTGGTTTTGCAAAAATGTAAATTTACAATTTTGTGGCATTATAAAACTATGTACAAAAAAGATGCTTTTATATACCGGAAATATTGGCAATAACATTTCAATGTCGCTAAGTCAGATTTACTGAATTGCAATTATCTTACGCGGCACTTTGCCGGTGTTATTATCTTTTTTGTATACTTTTTATAGTTTGTTTTTCACTGTACTTTTCCCTGATCCCTATGGCAAGGAGTGGTTCAAGCCCTGATCCTATTTTTTTTTTCGATTTAACCCTTCAGTGGCTTCCTTGGTACAAAAGTACCAATTGGGATTTTAAAACCCTCTTTGATTTGATTTATGCATCTATTTACAAAGCTGAAACTTGATGAATATCTTTCGTGTATATTTAACAATGAACTATAATATGGGGTTGGCTAAGGTAAATCTATACAAATTGGCTGTTAGCATTCATTCTACTTTATGGATTTAAATTTTATTTAAAATTTTCAGAAAATCTTATTTAGCGATATTGAACTCTGGATTTATTGCCTCGAATGCTAGGAAGTGTCAATTAGGGGATTCCCAAGACATGTTAACTGTCGTAAAATCTTAAGCTTAACATTTTTTTTTTTAATGCAAAATAACGGTTAAAATCGTTTTAGGAGTGCTACTTATACATTTTTTGTATCATTTTAAAATCATTTTGGTGTTGTTAGAACGTCTCTGAAACCATTTTAATCACTATTTTACATTAAGAAATGTTAAGCTTAAGATTTAACGACGGTTAACAAGTCGTGTGCATCCCCTAAATATCTATTAGCGCTTTACCTAAAGTCTTCAAAGCACTCATACACACGAATCTGTCATATACCTACATATGTAAGTTTCTAGCTTTCAACTAATTTCCTGAATGTCATAAATAAATAAAAGTATTGTAATTAATGTTTGGTTTTTTTTTGCATTACCACCGCTTTTCTGCTTGTGTATCGTCTGGTAGAGTCGTTTATACCATTCATGCTGATGTGGTTCCTTCACCTCCTGTAGCGCGTCAATTTGAAAGTGAAGTGTTGGAATTGATTTTTTTTATGTGTTAATTATTCATATTTTATTTTATATGTAAATGATTGTATTGCGCTTTTACCGATCTCAATATAATGGGCATTCCATCGTTGGTAACCGGTCCGATGCCGTCGACTTGCCGTCGACCCAATTGCGCCATTTTT